GAGAGAGAGAGAGAGAGAGAGAGAGAGAGAGAGAGAGAGAGAGAGAGAGAGAGATGCAACTGTGAGTAAAACCACCCGCTCACCGCCACCTTCTCAGTAGTCTCGCGTCATCGACATCGACGACGACAGAGGGAGAGAGAGAGAGGACGTGCGTCCACGCGCACGACCCAACGTTGACTGCGAAGAATTACGCGCGCGTGTGTCGCGGAGCGACACGGAAGACATCTCGCGGAGCGACACTGAACCTGGGCGCCGGGCGGGGTGCGGAGAGCGGGGAGGATTCAGTTCTTCCCCGCTCCCCGCACTCGGCCTGGCACCATCTTGGTTTGTAACCCACCTTGCTCAACTACTCGAGTTATCGCGATTAAACTTGTTCGAATGGAACCGTGAGAGCAATCGCGAATGTATCAGGACTTTACGATTCGAACGTGCCGCATTGCATTCCGGAGAAACAATGGTTCGTTCATGAAGCAAATATGCAAATTGTTCAGCGTTACTTCTTTATTTCTATTTTTTCCATCATCATACGTACAAAGTGACGTTATATTTCATCGTGACTGTGATATCTACGCATCTGGCCAATTTTACCGCGAATTCGGCGGAACTGAGTCGCAACAAGTTCGATATTGTTTCGGCGTGCGTTGGCACGCGTTTTAGAATAGTTTCGTCGATCGTTGAACCTATGCCGTACGACAAAACAATTTTAAGAGAAGCCAATTCGTACAAATTGTTCGGACTTCGACGCAGTTGGAAAATACTTGGTAGCGGCGGTGACGTCCGTTGTTGAACTTGCGATTTTATCGAAGGAATTGATCGCGAAATTATTATTCGATGACGGTACGGGAAACATACACTCGATGATTTCTATTTCGTACAAATTGCGCACCACACATATAAATCGCAGAGCGAAAATATTGGATGAACGAATTGTTGCGAATTGCGAGTCCGAAACGTCGCGGTAATGTGGGGTTGCCCGGCACAGCGTAGTAGAGTGGGAGAAAGTGGTGTGGCGCGATGGTTAATAAAGTGTTTCTTCGATTGACAAAAACTGAACTTGTCTTTATTACTTGATTGCCCGATACAATTTTACGTACGCGTCCGACAGCGTGTCGGTACTTGAAAGTTGAAAATTTGAGTCGCACCTGCGCCGATCTTACGTCCCCTTTTATCCTCCTCCTATGGCTTAATCAGAGGGGACGGTGTTGATGTGTCAGCGTCATCTGAATGAGGACGCCGACCATCTTGATTTCGATATCTCTATTACAGGAATGTCAGGTTGCATTTCCGCATAGCGACGTTTGGCAATTCGGAGCCGTGGATCCGTCTATGGTCTTTGACATACTTTATCGTTGCGCTTACAACATCCCTCCCCCGTTGGAGAGAGAAAACGGAGGGACGACGTTTTCGTTTTACAATAGTTTTTCCCGTGTACAATATTTTATTACAATCGTTTGTTTTTATTATTACTTTAGTTCTATTCGCTGATTTCGTTTCGGCGGATTTTCCTTTAATTTAGCGCGAGGTATTCTTATTTGTTGTCTTATGTCGCTGTTGCGGCGTTCTATGACAATGGGGTTATTATTTTTTGTAATGGTTTGTAGTTTTGTTAGTATCAGTATTATAACTATAATTACAATTATAATGACTAGTCCACTCAGCGCGGTTGAATAGATTAAATATTTATGTTTTTCGAAGAACTTTGATTTTCTAGATCTTGCTGTATTTCGGACAATCTGTTCCCTAAATTTGTTAATTCCGCGGGATTCCGTATTACCTTTTTCAGTGTTAAAGTTTGTGCTGTATTGCTTTTATTTTGACTTGCTATGGTTTCTTGAGAAAAAGTTAGATTATATTTTGGTATATTTATTTGTATGTCGTTAATTTCAAAAGTCTCTTGGATCTATATTATAGTGTCTTCTATTGTAAGTCTACATTGCTGTTAAAATTGGATAATTCCTAATTTTAAAATTTTTCTCGATATTCCTTATTATTTTTACAATATATCATTATTGGTTGTGCGCTATGCGTTGAATACAGCCAAGCGTTCTTTC